ATCTTTAAAATTAATATTTAAAGAGTTCATCAAGAATAAGTTAATAATTTTTTTCATTAAAAAATTTTTTCTAAATTGGTCTATTTTTATTTTATAAGTAACTAAGACTTTTTCTTATAATATAAAATTAAATACTACTATAATATAATCCTTATTTTTAAATATTATCAAAAAAAAATTTATTTAAATATATTAAAATTTAAAAAAAAGTAAATCATAACTATATTTATGATAATTTTCTAGGCAAATTTGCCTGAAAAAGCCTACAGTTTAAGGGATAATATGTTATACAATAGTCTTAAATAATTTACATACATATATATTACACGATGCCTTAATTACTTACTAGAAGTTATACAAACTATAACTTGTAATCAATATATGACTTTTAAATTTTCATATCTGCTAGGCCAGATATAATAATTTTGTTTAAAATTACTAAAAATTCTACTAATACAATTATAGCTTATTTATTAAATAAAAGAATATACCTAGCTAATAAATTTTTTATAGACTTAATTGACTAGATTATTAATTTTGGCCTAGCTCAGATATATTTTAACTAAAATTTTTGAGAACTATCTGAAAAAACCTTATTTGTATTAACCAAAAGTCATTCACCTACAGTAGAGTTTCTCAAAGTTAAATCAAATTGAATCGAATATTAATCAAATTGAATTAATCCTTAATTTAAATTTGATTTGATTGAATCAAATCAAATCAAATCAAATAATATTCAAATTTTATTAAAAATTTTAAAAATTTTGTCACTTTTCAAAAATCTCAATTTATGTAAAATTTTATTAAGCTAATCGATTTTGCATATTAAGTAAAAAATATTTTTCTAATCAAAATACCCCTAGTTAGTTAGAATGAAAATAGCAGTTATTATAATAAAATTTTGTATAAATAGATATTAAATCTACAAATCAATTCAAATATTCAAATATTTGTCAAATCAAATCGAATATTTTGTCAATTTGAATTTGATCGAATCGAATAAATCTATGATTTGAATTTGATTTGATTTGAATATTTGATCAAATTAAATCGAATCAAATCGAATTGCAGAACCTTAGCCTACAGATATTATATATACTTAACTATTATAGTACCACATACTTTATTCATAACCAGAATACAAATTAGACTTATATATATGTGTGTCTAAATTGCCTATCTTAATAAAAAGTAATTGGTATTTAGATAGCCAAAATTAGTTTTATATAGTATCAAAATTAATTATCTTATTTGCTAAAATTATCTAAAATTTTTTGAATTCTTCTAATCAAAATACTTCATATAGTATAGTTATTTTAAAGAGTTTAATATAAAAAATTTAATATTTGCTGAAAATGCTTTTTTTAAAATAAATTAAATACACATATATAATTGTACTTCAGGTACTAAATATAGTACTTTACAATATTAATATAAACAAATCCAAATTGATATTTCTAGGTATATAGCATATAAATTTGTGAAAACTAATAGACATTATTTAATATAAATCTAGTTGTGAAATTTTAGCAATAAGCATAATTTTATTGAAATTTGACAAATACTTGTTATTTTATATGATTAGACAAGCTATATACATCATATGCTCTAAGATATAAACCTTAATTAACAAATTCTCTAAACTAACTATTGCATTTTTTATATTTGCAAGTGCGAGAATTATGCCCAATACCCTTATAATAATTGCATATATATTTATTTTCTTTTTTCTTTAAGGTTGTTTTTTCAAATTGCTTTTCGGCATCACTTTAATAATCTATCCTATATAATAAATTAATAAGAAACCAGCTACTAATAAATACAAAAAATTAAATTACTTATTCATGATTTGAATTTTGTAAATTTTTCATAATGATACAAGTATTATCTTTACTACAATATTTAGAAATAGATTTTTCAAATATGCTTTTAATACGTTTTTTAGATGCATCTTTTGTTTGAGTTAAATAAAGATTGCTTATATTTGGCAAATTCTGCTTGTTAGATTCATTTGAATCACAATAAATCTTTCTTTTTGTTTCCTTAATCCAATCTTGTAAAAGTTTATTTAACTCATCTTCACATCCAGTTTTTAGAGCTAAATTAACTGCCTTTTTTGTATAGCTGAAACCCTGATTATATTTCACTTTATAGGTCAAATTGCGCTTAACAGTTTCTGAAATTACTTGTGTATACCGAATCTCATCAAGAAGGCTATAATTTGTTTCAATCTGATATTCATATATAGATATACTATCATTCAACAAATGCTTCTTGCTGATAATAATAATTGCAGCTTTATCTTAAGGATCAGATGCTATTTCATTGTACTATCAAGCTAAAATAAGGCCAATATAAAATATGGCCTTGTCAGAGCTAAGTATTACAAAAAAAAATATTAGCAAACAAGTCTTTTTGTTACAAGATTCATACAAGTACATAAATAGTTAGCATTTTCATAAATCACTATGAAATGCTCCTTATTTCACTTAATAGTTATTATATACCAAATTTTCTAAATATTAGATCAATTGATACATTTAATTAATGAATCAAGATTTGCTATAACTGATTCATAATCATCTTTAGCAAATTCTACATTATTTGCTACTTTAATTAATTCGGAAAAAACTTTGTTTTTATTAATTTGATCCTCATGATCAATTAAAAATTTTCAATTCTCAATTTTTTGAGTACAGTATAATAAGCATTCATTTATTTGTTGGTGCTGCATTTTTAAAACCCATAGAGTAAGATAATTTTTAAGAGTTATATTAATTTGACTAAAATATCTTTCTATAATATTAGGCAATCCAATGGTTAGATTTTGATTAATTTGTTTTTTACACTCAAATTGTTTTTTTCTATCAAGTTGCAACTGAATTTGTATATCTAATTTATACAATATTGTTGAAGTCTTAACTGATCGTTTGATTAATGAATTATAACTTTCAACACATTGTATTAATTATATTCTACCATTAAAAGATCTATAAGTATAACATAAAGTCCAACTAGTAATATCAACTCCAAGGGCACGTTCAAGATACTTTTATACTTTTAGATATTTATCAAGTAGAGCACATCATTTTTTTTTTAAATTCATCTTCTGATAAACTATTATAATACCCATTCCACATTGTTATAAAGTCTAAATACTCTTCACGAAGTTTTTTTTTTAAATTTTTTTCAAGATTTTTACATATATACCATATACAATAATTATGTTTAGTAGTGGGAAGGGTTTCATTAATAGCTATGATCATGCCAGGATCTGCATCTGTAAACAACACCTTCAGTGCAAGACCACCAGTAGCACATAATAAGTACTGCAGGATCTATTAATAGGTTTCTTTCATTTTATCAGATACAACAGCTGTCATAACTATTTGAGAATATGCATGATTGTCTACAACAATTGTAAGTGATAAATACATATGGTATTTATTTGTATGAGACATATTGTCATTAATTGCAATGTTATAAAATTTTTGCCATAAATCAATTTGTGATAGCTTCATCTAAAACAAGCTGATAAGGTGATTGTCCTCTCTTTCTAACCTTGCTTCAATGAATCAACCAAGTTCTTCATGTTGTAGTCATATTAGCTTTTCATAAGTTTTAGTAGTATTTGTCTTTACTAAATCTTTGTTATATCAAAAATAACAAATTGTATTATATATATTTTTTGGATTGATTGTAGTATTAGGAAAGCGTTTTTGAAGTCTATAAATAATCAAACTAGTACTACAACCAATTTTCACTAAGAATTTAACTTCCTCAAGCATTTCAGAACTAAGATGATAGGACTTTGATTTTATACTTTGTATACTCTTAGGCAGTAGATGATTATGTTCTTTGCTTATTAATGTAACATATACAGTATTATTAGAAAGATAACAATTAACTTTCCATAAATAGCCAATTTTGGCACTTTTCACATTCATAATTGTTTTTTGTATCTGCCTTTTTTTTTGCATAGTGTTTATCAGAATGCTTATATTCAAAAGTATGACAGACAATTTGATTACTCTTATTTTTTTGAAGCTGACTTTTTTCACTTCAAACCTTTTCTCTGTTGTGTATTTCTCAATATGTTCTATAGTTAAATATCAATTTTTGAATATATCAACTATTAAGAAATTAAAATTTTAAAGACAAAAACATATATAGCAAAATTATAACTTATATAAACAAACACTATATCTATTGCAAGATTAAATATATTTTGATTTATTGAACTTTTACTATCTGTATCTATATCCATATTCATGTTTGTATCCATATTCGTATCCATATTCATATCCATATTTATATCTATATTTGTATTCACATTTATATCTACATTTATATCCATATTTGTATTCATATTCATATCCATATTCATATATAAGACAGTTATTTGTTCTTTAAATTCTGCTTGTAAATTGTTAATATCTGCTGCCTCTTCTTCTTCTGAAGCATAAGCTTTTATAAACGAATGTTTGTAGTTACTTTGACCCATTAAAACCAAATAAAAGTTTTTTTAAGAAAAAAAAAAGCAACTTATTAAAAAATATAAAGAATGCAAAATATATTACTTATTAAAAAAAGTTAATGATTATAAAGAATGTGTTATTTATTAAAGAAAGAATATATATATTTTTTTTAAAGAAAAAGTTGCTTATTAAAGAGTATTATTTATTAAAGAAAGTTAATGATTATAAAGAATGTGTTATTTATTAAAGAAAGAATGTAAAATTTTTTTTTTTTAAAGAAAGAGCTACTTATTAATAGTTAGATTTATATCTTTGTACTATCTGTAGTACAGTTTTTAGAAATAGTTTAAAAATTTAAAAATTATATATTTAAATAATTTTTATATTCAAAAATCTGATAATTGTCAAAGAATAGTTTGGTAAATTTTTTTTTAAAATTATTAATAAAATTATTAAGAAAAATTTTTTTCTAAAAAAATAAAATTTCTTAAAATTTGCTATACTACAGGTAGTACATTTTCTGAACCTATTTTTTATTATATAATTACTAGTAATTTGCTAAATTGTGGCTTAGCTCAAAAAAGTTTGACAAAAAAAGTAAAATTTTTTTTTAAAAAATCATATAAAATCAAAAATAATATATAAAGCTATCAAATTTTTTTTATATAATACCTAATATCTAACAATTTATAAACAATAATTTAAAAATATAATTAATTATTAAAATTAATAGATAATTAGATTTAAAGAGTATACTATATGTAGTCTTTTGTACTCTCAGTAGTACAGATAAATCCAATTCATTAATATAAAGAGTAAAGAGCATTACTTATTAAAGAAAGAATTTTTTTTTAGAGTTACTTATTAAAGAAAGTTAATGAATATAAAGAATATATTACTTATTAAAGAAGAAATGCAAACATTATTATATTTTTTAGAAAGAATGCATTATTTATTAAAGTTTTTTTAGTTAACAGTATTGTTGGATTGATTGTAAGCACTGAATTTTAGACTTCTTCATTCTTTTTGTCAATATCTCACTACTCTTTTATAGACAACCTTCCCTTTCTACTATACACATACACAAGCTTAAGAAATTCAAGAAATTCAAGTAAAAGTTTAATTTTACCTATTAGGTTTCTTATTTATTTTTTTTCTTGCATATATTATTATATCACTAATCTGTCAGACTTTAAATTATATAAACTTTTAGATTGCACAACCTATAGTACTAGTATTATTTGATCCATCAATCCTAACTTGGGTACTCTAGTAACTAATAATACCAACTAAAATCCTATATGTACATATTACATATAATGTATAAGTCTGTAATGATAAATAATATATAAATTAATTAGAAATGAAACAACTATGACTATCGCTATATTGTAATTTATATGGTAATCATATATTGTAATATATATGCATATAAATCATTTAAAACTATTGTATAACATACTATATCAGATTTGTAAATTCATGTAATCTATGGTTTGTAGCAATGATTACTTGTGGCGATATTTAGCAAAGCCCTTATTTTTTTTATATTTTCTTTTTCTTTATTTTGTATTCAAAATTTTTACAAAAAATATTATTTTAGATTGATAATATATTATATAGAATAGTGATCTTGACAAAATTAGTAGTTATCTATTATAAACTTTTGAGGTTTAAATTCTTAGTAAATTAGAAATCTTAGATGAAATAATAAATTACTTAAGTAGATCACACCAGATCCTCTTTGCAAAACCTATTTTAGATTTTTGTTTTAATAATAAGTGATTCTTTATTTGTATAAGTATATATAGTTTATAATATAGATTAGTCTCTATTTATATAATTGTATAATTGTTATATTCTATATCAATCTAAATACTAAAAGAAGAATCACTAAAGCAAAAATAATAATAATAATAAACTAGTATATAGTACTGTATATTTTCTAAAATAAACTACTTTTTTTTAAAGAAAATTATATAAAAATATTGCAGGTAGTTTATTATCCAGATAAAAGCAATTTTTTGTTATTTACAAAAAATTTTATTAAGTAAATTAAGCTTCTTTATTAAGTAAAGTTGTTTAAAAGATCAAAATATATATTCTTAAAAATTTTATATAAATTAGAGAATTTTTTATTAATTGTTTTTTGATTTTTGTATTCAACAAATATAAATTTTAAAAAAATTTTTAAATTTTTTATTAAACTTAATATACAAAAATATATTAATAAAAAGGTATTCAATTTGGATAAAATATTCAAAATATATATATTTTGATCTTTTAAACAACTTTTAATTAATATCGTATATTGCCAAAAATAAGCTACCTCTGAAAATAAGCTATCTTTCTTTTTTAAAAGAAAAATGTAAAAATATCTTATAACTGAAAATAAGCTACTATACAATTATCAGTAGACTATAGTAAAGTCAAAATTTTATTAAGTAAATCAACATGGCTTATTAAGTAAAAGTTGTTTAGAAAATCAAAATACATATATTTTAAGGGTAGAGTGTATATCGATCATTTATCATATAATCTCAGTAGTACAACAGGATTTTATGCATAAATTAAAATACGTTACTAGTAAAAGTTCTCAAAACTATGATTAAATTTTACCAAAATTTTGTAACATACAAATCAAACCTTCTATTTATAGTAGTAAAACTTTCGGAGACTATATTATTTTTAAAAAATAGACATACATATGTCATAAAGTTCTCGGGGATTTTTCAAATTTGCTGAGGTTATATAAAAAACATAGTAAAAATATTTTTAAAACAGGTAATTACC